GACACATTCCACCGTGCTAACATGTGCCCAACGTGCCCTCGACACCCAATAGGTCCCTTGGCGGTATTTCTGTCATTGAAGATCATGCTTATAGATTTGGGAGAGAAACAATAATTTTCAGCGGAATTTGGAACCTCTACAATGACAAAAGTACTGAGGATATTTAGTGAAATGACATGGGTTTTATCGAAAGTTTGGAGTGGTTTGTCGATCTTCATTAAGGGATCACCGATAGTAGTCTTTTGCAAACGCATCTCAGTCAAAACGTATGGTTATTCTTATATCAGCATATTAGAAAAGAATTATAACTTGCTCTACCTCAATTTATGATTGCTGGTAAATAAGATCTAAGCTTGACTAACTCTCAACTTTGGGCCATGACAAAGAAAACAAGTCAATGTAGTACAGTGATTGAGTAGTTCATTTCACGTATATTTGGTCTGTTGAGGCCGTTGTATATGAGTGACAGCCAGTTGAACGTGATATGGGTCAAAATGAAAACGGAAATGGAAAAGAACAAGTACCGATCAGTAATCAAGTTTTTGACTTTCGAGAAAAGTACTCCCCAAGACATTCATGACCGCATGTCACAAATGTATGGGGATAAGTGCCTTAGCTATTCCACTGTTAAACGCTAGACAGCTATGTTGAAGGCTGGGAGAACAAGGCTTGATAAAGACCCTAGGTCTGGACGTCCTTCAACTTACATCAGTGAAGATTCAGTGAAGGAGATAGACGTATTACCATTGCCGAACTTGAGGAAGACATAGGTATAAACAACAGATCCATTGAAACTATTATTCATGAACATTTACAGATCAATAAGATATCCGCTCGAGAAAAAAGAGCGGACACTGCCAGAGATAATTACAAGCTTATTGAGGAGGATTTCATTAAATTCAAAAAGAGATTATTAACTGGTGAAGACACACGAGTCTGCCATTTTAAGTCAAAACGTCAATCCATGGGATGGTACCATTCCACTTTTCCGGCACCAAAGAAATTCAAGTCTTCAAGATTCACCATTGTTTTGTTTCAGGTCACTATTTCGCTCTCGGTGGTGGCAGAGGACACCGTTGGTGGCAGAGGACACCATTGGTGGCAGAGGACATCAGGCACTGAGGCTTTTCTCCAACTTGCCCACATACAGAGCACACGGGGAGGAGATAACTCTTGTACACCGAAGATGTGTCCAACACCAACTCGGGTGTCATTAAGCATCGCAAGTTCTTTCCGAAGCAAATAAGGGCATATGAGAACACCAAATATCTTAAGTGATGCTCTATGCGGTTACTCGAAAAGTACCAATCCTTATGAAAAAAATATAATTAGAGCAGCAAAGATTGTCTATATGATGTTCCGGATTTCATAACAAAACTGCAGACAGATTTTTCTTTTTTTAGCCAAGGAGATTCCATAATGTGCACGCATGAAACGTTTAGTGTGGTGTTTGAGCGACATGTTTTAGAAATGTGTGAACAAGGCAAGTGAAAATTTCAAAACCAAATGACACTACTTCCGATACCAAATACTCACATCCATATATGTAGATGATCCATGGCGTATTTCAACAATTTGGAAGCCGTTTTGGTGAGAAAAAAAAGATGCATGGTAATGCAATCGGTTCTATGTTTTCTTTTTTAGGAGAGTGTAATTCAAAACCTTCTGAAGCGGAAAGCAAGTCATGATTCAGATTAGCAGTAACTAGATACGCTTTAAATAACCCCTATACAGTTAATATCTTTCATTGGTGACAAATCCTATGGCCACTACATCAACCACCAGATTCTTACAAGCTGAAATTTATGAACAAATGATATGTGAAAAAAGGTGTTTTAATGTATTCACTTAACTTAAATTTAGTCCTTTGCAAGACCGCGCTTACTGAAGGTTCTGGGTATCAGGTGCGAATCCCGCTGTCCATGTATGTGTCTGATCTTATATTAGTATTAGGGGCTGTCGGGTAGCCTGCTGGTTGAAGCTTTTCTCGTCACGCCGAACCAGGGTTCGGTTCCCGTCATGGGTACAATGTGTGAAGCCCATTTTTGGTGTCCCCCGCTGTGATGTTGCTGGAATATTGCTAAAAGCGGCGTAAAACCATACTCACTCACTCACTATATTAGTATCAGATTGGATGTAAAGAAAACCTGATCACCTCACATAACATTTTATTGGTTGTTATGCTTGGTGTGTATAACAGGTATGAACTGTCTTCACTTCAGGACACAGTAGCACTCTCGGATATATTATATGAAAACAAATGAGAACATCCAAAGCCCAAGAGACGTCAACAATGTCCAACTATATGGCCCCTTCAAATACAGCTGACAGATAGCCAAAGAGCTAATTTGATGTCACAGATATTTAATCAACTTGAATTTCATTTGAAATATGACATGGCTGAATATGAGTATGTTAACTGGTTTTGGTGTTATTTTGAAAGTTTGCTGCATTTTCTAGTAAGAGGGTAAATTCATAAACTGGGGCGTTCTGGCGGAATGCCCGGGTCTTCCTGGTTAAAGAATACACTGGCAGTTTATCATTTCAAAACTTTAAAGAAGTGTTATATCTCTAGAGGTTTATAATCTCAGGGTGATACAGGATTAAATAACTCCGTTACGCTCTGTTCTGAAAAGTTTGACGGCGGACATTCTAGGTCATGGGACATACTCACTTGGTGGTCATCCATTGAATGGAACTCACAGATGAGACTCCATTTCAACGGAAACATTGACGTAATCAAGCCTCGATATATCAAGAGGTCAAGGACCATATGAAGCCGATGTTGGTTGCTAAAGTGTTTCGTCCATCTGCTTATCAATATTTCTCGCCTTTTGTCCTGCTATGCAAAAGCGACCTGAATTTCCGTGTCTAACTCGATGATCGAAAATTGAACAGTCACAACATTCGAGATGCCTATGACATACCCGGATGCATGACATTCTAGGTCATGGGACATACTCACTTGGTGGTCATCCATCGAATGGAACACACAGATGAGACTCCATTTCAACGGAAACATTGACGTAATCCAGCCTCGATATATCAAGAGGTCAAGGACCATATGAAGCCGATGTTGGTTGCTAAAGTGTTTCGTCCATCTGCTTATCAATATTTCTCGCCTTTTGTCCTGCTATGCAAAAGCGACCTGAATTTCCGTGTCTAACTCGATGATCGAAAATTGAACAGTCACAACATTCGAGATGCCTATGACATACCCGGATGCATGACATAAGACGAAATATTTCCCTTCTCTTGGACTTAAAAGTGGATATTAAAAAATTGAAGTAGACTAGGAGCCCAGAGGTTACGAGGTTTAGAGAGTACTAAAGACAATAATGGGCGCAAGCACACCTTTGTCAAATACCGAGGTCACGTTATCTCTGAAGAGGGTATCAAAACAGAACCTGATATGATAGAGGTATTAAATAGCTGGCCAGTTCCACATGATGTTGATGATATCCATCGATTTCTTGGATTACCTTGATACTTAAGACGTTTTGTGCCAGATTACGCTAAAGTTGCCAAGCTGCGTACTTGATCAAGATCAAGTCAAATCAACCATGTGTTTGGGGGATGCTCCACAGTCTGCTTTCACTAAGCTGTTAAGCTTTATTGTGAATTGCACATTGATGCATATAGGAATGGCCTGGGTGAAGTACTGTACCAACCACAATACAATAACACAAGTGACTGCCTATACTAGTCACATTCTCAGCGAAGCTGGACACAATAACTCAGCTCATTGGTTTTTTGGCTCTTAAATGGTATGTCACCAAGATGTTTCATGACTATTTGTGGCGCAACTCATTCACTGTGATCACTGGCAAGACCACCCTCTCTAATGCCCCAAATTCCACTAAGTTTGTGAACGGGCATCACTGCCATGCACAACTTGCCACCTATGAATTCTCCCTTGTGTATGTAAGAATGTCGATGGAGAATGTAATGTAATTTAATTATCTCATCAAATACTGTGGGGACTCTTTCCCTTACTAGACCGCCTCCATGATATAATGGTAGAGCGTCCGCCCGGAGAGGGGAAGGTCCAGGGTTCGATCCCCTGCCACGTCATACCAAAAGAACTTAGAAGGTGGTTCTTGTTACCCTGTCCGGCGCTTAGCATTGAGGGGTTAAAACAAGGACTGGTCCGCTCGGAGTCAGGATACTGTGTCTGAGTGGGGTATTAATGTTAAATCGCAGCATGGTATCTCGGTGGGCTTGGACTATAAATCGGCATCAGTCCGGACTAGTACAAGCAGCCACACACGCACACACGTCCATGCACGTCGCTATATAAGTGCAATAATCTTGGACACGACGTTAAACCCCATTTCACCTCACCTCACCTCAACCTATGGAGATGGTGTTCATCTTGTGGTTATGGTGAGGTGAAATGGGGTTGAACGTCGCCTCCAAGTGTGGTTATAGGAATGCCCTGGTCATTACAGACCATTTCAATATATTTGCCTTTGCCAACCCCACTCGCAACCACACGGCACATACTGCAGTCCAAGTACTGTTTGATCACATCAATGTTCACTGTGCCATTCCAGAGAATTCGCACTCTGATCAAGAACCACATTTTTGCCGCTCTAGCAAGCAAATTGCATACTTCATAATCGGTGGAAAGAGGCTTATTAAATGATAGATTCTGAACTCATGTTTTGACGAACGGCGTTGGTTTAAAATGAGTTTGCAGTCAATATGTATCAACAACATTGGGAGACGTAACTATTACAGATTGGCGAATTAATTAATAGAGGACTGTCAGTGAAATGGGAAAAGTTGTTGATCATAATGTGACTTCAGGATATTACCATGGAATAGCCTATAACGGACCTGGAATTCGATTTGAAACGTATGCATGATACGAAAAGTCTCAAATGGATTTCTCAGCGACAAGCGTGAATGAAGTACCATTCACTCACGTGTGCAGTTCAACTGTTTTCTTTGATAAACAGTGCACAGAATATAACATATATGAATTAAAGCAAAGATGAAAGGAATGACAAACTTTATTCAAAGATGATTACATATCATTCTTTCCGTGTACATGTTTAAAATGTATTCCTTCTGAATATATGGTTTCAAGGTTTGAAACTATTAGTGGACCGTTATATATAATCCTTTACTGTCAGGCCACATAGGAAACTACATCTTTTCACTGACACCCTCCCCCGTATGGAGCAAGGTTCTGGATTCGAATGATTTCAAGGTCAAAGGTATCGGGTCCATGCAAGATTTCCTCTATCGCCTCGATTTTCTGAGGGTCAACTGGCGCGAAGTGCATCAACTGTAATGTGACCAAAAAAGAAGTCATTGTAAGCCCGTTCTTAAGGACGATAACTATCACAATTGCTACAACAAACTATAGTGGGTGAGATAATTCGGTGTAACACACCCTTTAACATTATTTTGTAATTAGAATGGTGTGTCAGCCTGATGTAAGGGGAAAGTCAGAAGTGATGCTTGAAAAGACATTTACCACTTAGCACAAGGAATGATAAGTCAAACCTAGAAACCAAATCAGGGGATTAATGAAGTGTGCAAGAAGGTTTACCTCAACTGGAAGGCTTGCAAGAGTTCTGAAACATGCTGCCCGTTGACCTGTTTTCAGAATGCCCATGTCTCTCACAAACATCTGTCTCATCTTCTCGTCAAACTCAGCTGTTGTTAAATCTGAAATGTAAGCATGAATAGGATAAAATACATGAGTCTGGAATAGGAACTTTGACATACTATTCACAAAGCGTGCACAGGACTGTGCATTTTGATCCTTTATGGGAAGCTGCCTAATTCCTAGTATATTTAACACCTTTGATTGTTCTTTACTTCAACCCTCGTCCCCGTCACCACATGTTACAGCAAGTTAGTATTGGACATCCAGGAATCCTGGAACTAATTAACATTCGATGCTTAGGTGCTTTCAAGATTCCTACCACAAAGTCCAGAATGTCAGCTATTTTTTATTCTGGAGATAATCATGTAGTTAGGTTTATGGACTCTGACACGCAACGATTTTTTGAACCAGATGAATTTATGGTCATTTAAAACCTGACTGGTCAGAATAAAATCCACACCTTTAATATCTCCTTGAAAAACAACACAAGTGTACACCTTTAAATGTGTTTATTACTTCGTGTGCTGATATATCGAACAGTTCAATGTATAACTAAATGAGCTACAGTGCTACCGTGCTATTATTCCTGGACAAAGCTTATACTCGCTGGAAGAGCTGCTGTGTTTATCCCCCTTTTAAACCAACATGCACAGTAACTAGAAAAGGTTTTCTGCAGGTGAGTTAGCCCCTGTGATACTGCATGTACCATATACGTTTAACTGTATGATAATACTTGTTACTATATGATAATACTTACTTGTAACTATATGATAAATACTAACTTGTAACGATCAGTATGTAAGCGCTTAACTGCCAGACATACCTTTGACGTAAAATATTTGCTTGCCAAGCTGTAAGTGATCATCATCCTTGAGAGACATATCATAAAAGTCTCTGGACATATTGACCCCAAGTTCCCGGGCGTAGTCACTGCAGCGGTACACTGGGGTCGTCTTCACCTCATAGCCCTTTCGTGACAGAAAGGTTGTCAACTGTGGCCAGCTGCAAGCTTTCTCAACACCAAGAACTGAAATTAACAGATATTTGTTTTCTCATTAAAAAATAATTGGGAGAAACATGTTATTTGACAAGAAAGGACAGATGTTCTATTTATTTTGTATTTCCTTGCTTGACTTCATTATATTACTCTAAAAGCTATTGTGTCATTGAAGCTGACTGAAGTTCTGGCATGAATTTTTATTTCACTCAAGAGAGATACCATTTTATCAGTCAAATGCAATATTTCACCACTGACTACAAAATAATGTGCATCCACAGACAATGATACTTCATCTTTGGGATGGTGAAAGAACAAAATCATTTGTCCTTCATGATTGATATAGATTTACGTGGATTGGGTTTCATTATAAAGCAACATATTCTTTTTAGCGAGTACGTGTTGAGAAACAATAACGTGTGTCTTACAGTTTGTTATGAAGAAACATACAACAAATAGTTCATAATCAGACTTACCAAAAATTACCCTTGAGTTCCCGAGTTCCTGTTAAACAAAGTGCAATTTACTAATATATGCGTGTAAATGATTGATGTGGGAGATTGAATGTTGAACACTATTTCACCAAACGGCGACCGCCCGATCAAATAAAGAAGTCTATTACAACAAGCAGCATGGTTGTTCGTCTAAGATTAACAGAATGATTTGTTGCAACCAATAACAAAATATTGATGATAACAATTTTACTAACCTTAAATGAAAATAGAACTTTGATGTCAGTTAGACCCTCCACTGTTGTCTTAATCTGCAATATGTCTGCCGTCTCATCCCTCCCCTCCTTAGGAGGAAGGGTGATGTCAACTCTGTACAGAAGGGCGTCTCTATCATCATCGGAGCCGAGAACCGACCCGGGGAGACACGACAGGGTGAGGAGACCAACGAGGAGCATGACCATTGTTGTAAAATCGTTCTGCCCTCAACTTCTGGCTACGGACAAATACAATTTTTGTTCTAATATCAGTTGGTTCACTGGCCCAGATTCGATGATTTTCACGGCGGCGTCAAATACATGTAACTGGACTATTGCGGAGTGTCATATAAAACACACAAACAGAAAATGGTGATGAGAATCAGTCAGGCAGCAGCCAAGCTTACTCGACTTACTGCTTGTGTATAACCTGAAACACATTGTCAGTGACACTCGTGTGGTAAGGGATAGTTGTCAAGTTAAATCTCCTAAACTGTTACAGTGTATAAACTATCGAGATGTATCCATTACGTACAGATCGCGATGTTGTGGCCTTTGCATGTCCTTGTCGTCAGTAGGTGGTCACAGTTTGAACAGAATATTTATGTTATGTCATATTCTGTACGTAAAGGAAAGTTGACCAGTACTACTATTTCAGCACGTCGACACATTATAATATTATGCTGTAGAATAACTGCAACCGACGCTAGGCCACTATACGGGCCCCATACCGGTCTCTGCCACGATAATTCGTCTATGCTACTCCATATTAACGCCTTAAACACGTTCACAGTCAAAGGAACAATGTGAATGCCCCTTGCATTGCACATAATGACAGGTGCCAGAGCATAATGCATAATGCACAGGTATCACATAACAACACAATAAACGTCGATGGCAGACTTAATTGTTCTGTGAACTGCAAGACGCCTAGTTTCAAAGCCTAGTGTTATAGCCAGTTATGTAGTATCAAGTTAATATGTATGTATCAATCTGAACTGCAATTATTACTGGCAAAATGCATTCCCGTTTTGTCCGATCCTGACTCAGTGTATCTCTTTTGTGAAGTCCAATAACTAGACTACCTGTAAGAAGGACATGATGTAAATGTATCTCTCAGAAACGGAAATGGTGTTTTGGTAACCCGTCTAAGTATAGAAAATATTTTTAAATTGTCCATTTTGATAATTTTATCTACGATGATACCTCAGGCTTAAGACTGCCATCATGAGGGAGATTCTCATTCGGTATTGAAGACCCCTTGGTCCTGAATACAATTTGTGGTATGTCCACAGTGTGGTTACAGTGCTACACATCATATATACTCTCCTATATATATGCAACTGTTTCCCAAAGCTTATGCATGTAACTTTGTCATAATTTTTTGCATAGTCCATCTAAAAAATAGAGGAAGGTCGGTAAATGTATTGATGTTATTAGACATCATCAGTCCTGTCAACGTAACGTACAGACACTCCAATCACGTTTGTGACATCTTCTGCGCTCTTTATGCCGTCTCACATGTGCTCTCAGTCTCTCTGTATCTGTGGAGAAAGTTGATATCTTACCTTTTTGAATGTTAGGAGTTGAATACTGGCTGGTAACTGCTGCTGAAGGTTTGACTCCAGCTATTTATATATGCGTGTCTTCCTGATTGAAATTCCAAGTGCTCATGTCAGCATAAGGCAGAATTCTATGTACATTTATGAGATAAGCTGACTCCTTTTGCAAGGCAGAGCATGATTACCTGTAGATACCACACTAATACCCACAGTTCAGTATGTGCTTTCTGTGACACACACCTACTTTACTCCATACACACGTTCAGTATATTTGTACCTATGACACCATTACCTACAAATCACGATTGACATAGTCAATAAGTGAGGTCAGTCAAGAACACTGACAGGAGCGGACCCTCCATCATATACTATGTCTGCCTTTACTCTATATCAACAATAAACATAGCTGCAGTCGTCCTCAGAGGCCGGAGTGTAAACTTAAAAAATGCATCACAGGTTTCCAATTACTCTCCCATTGGCTACTACTCAGCAATGTCGATTATCTGTTCATGAGAGACAGAGCTGAAACGGCTATTAGTGCTTGGTGAGAGCCTGTCGCAGTAAAAGGTTATGTTAGAATTTACCACAAGAATCAAAATAAAGTAAATCCTACATTTTGTCTACAAATTATGAAGAAAAAAGACTCATTTGAAAAACATACATCACATTTTATTCATTCATGAATGAAGTCTACTTATTCCAATACAAAAAAAATATTCGCTTACTTTCCTCAGAAATAATTTTGTAAATTATGTTACCCCGATAACAGCAACGAGACAGTACTATCAATTATACCTTCAAGGCATACCGACGTTCCTACAGTTTGGCCCTCACTCTATAAAGGTTCATACTCCAATGAGCTCACACAAGGAAATTCTTGTAAATTTTCATCACAATTTTATACCTAGGATTTAGGCCTATATCTACACGCAACTTTTTCTCCTGTGTGTGACTTCTTGTTTACACTGACCGCCATAAACAACCAGCTTTATCGCGGAATGAAATAGTACCTCAAAAAGAGAGGTGACACGAGCGTATGTGTGCACAATTTGCTCATCAGACACATTTGACACCACACATGTATTCAGATAATATCCCAATCAGATGAGAAATGTCTGATAAGAACTACTTCAGTAAGTCAGTCACTACGGCAGCGCGTCGTTATACATTTACATGAAGTACAAAGCGTCAAAAGAGCCAACACGAAAAACGTGACGGGAGAGATTTCGGTGGTTGTTAATAAACTTGTTCCCATGCATCTGTATAAATATGTATGAATATGTGTACTGCAGTGATCGGAAATGCCCACGTGTACATGCAGAGCAATTATATTTCTGACATATGAGCAGATGGGTGAATTACATTACTGCGTCAAGTGTTGAGAAGCACGTGTTAGGAAAATATGTGTGGCAGAATTGATATTGTGGATATGTGTGTCAGCGAGTAGGTAGGGGTCATGTTTGCTTGTACGAGAGAACTGAATCCACGTGGACGCGTTAGAGCAGTGAGTGACCATGGTTGGAGGAACTTGTAAGAGCTTTGTACGTGTGTGTATTAGTAGGTGAGAGTATTTTGTGCATGGTGGTGTGGGGGTTTGGGGTGAGGACTTATGTGTGTGTGATATGGGAAAGGTATTTGTGGGTGGGTTTGTAGTGTGTGCATGGTGGTGGTACATGATCGAAGTATGTATAGCAATGTAACTGATGTTAGCAGGTGTAAATCCTTATCAGAATACGGTTTTGAATCGGTTTGGTTCTTAGTCTATTACATTGCTTCCCTAGGCATATACGCAATTCGTGCATGACTAGTCCACAATCTGTGTGTTCAGAGCCATCCAATCCAAACTCCCGGTTTTAAATATGTTTCAAGTATGTAATGTGCAACTCTGTAACGATTACCATAGCCGACACAAAAACGTGACGGGAGAGATTTCGGAGGTTGTTAATGAACTTGTGGCGGTTACATGTTTTAAGTCACCTTTGATCAATTTGCCTATCATTGAAAGGTGATCAAAGATGTGTCAAATAGACACTCAGATAATTTAAAGATTGCTGTAGACGGTCTCTGTCAGCCTGGACACGGATCGATTCGATACTACGATCGTCATGTTACCGACCTCTCGTCCAATGAAATAGTTGTATAACTTCAAATTAAAACAAATGTTACAGTATAATTTCCTGTTCAGAGCTCCGTTTCATGTGTGCGGACATCAAACCCGTACAGGCAAACATATGTGTATGGGAATATACACTGAAACGATACGAACTCATGGATAATCGTCATGATAAAAGTATAATAAGTTATGAAGCCTCATTGCTAGGAATATGGACGAACCTTAATTAGTGGAGACTATCAACATAAAGTTGTGTACTACTTTTTCGATTTTTCGATTTTGTGCTGATTTATGATATCGGCGAAAATTAGGTATCTTCTTGCAATCAACCTACAACGATCTCTGGCATACACATACAATGTCTTTTAGCCAGATTCACTTTATTGTATTTTCCTTACATTCTAGTTTAGACTTTTGAAGCTGGTTAGATTTTTTTCACACCCATTTTACTTTTAACGCAGTTCATATACAACATCTGTTGTCATGAAAATATTACATTTATAAGCAAAACGCCCAGCGCAATACACACATTATGTGTTTGTCTCTACGCCATCAGTAGACTTAACTGTTAGCTATGTTTATCAATGATCTGTTTCAATACATTAACCATGATGGTATATGTCTATGCCATACTGATCGGGGACGCGATCAGCATTTGCTGCTCCATGGAAACGTCCAGTGTTCCTGTACGAGCTGGAACGTCCCCTCCCCTGTGTTTTGTATGTACAGTTTTGTATGTACATTTTTATATGTACAGTTTTGTGTGTACAGTTATAGGCCACAGAGTTTAAGCACTGCCTCCTGTGAACAGAGTAGGGCAGCAATAGCGAGCCCATCTTCATAATATTATATGTTTGCTTATCATTGTTGAAATGCATGAAGGTTGACTGGTGCATTTTAGCCACATGTAACATGAAACATTTATGGACATTTGGACTATATACTTGACCAGACAATCCAGTGATTAATATCATGAGCAACGATCCACGCAATTGGTTGGTTGGTTGGTTTGTTGTTTAACGCCGCAATCGGCAATATAAAGGCTATATGGCGGCGGTCTGTAAATAATCGAGTCTGGACCAGACTATCCAGTGGTTAATATCAAAGCATCGATCCACGCAATTGGGATCGATGACATGCATCAAACCAAGTCAGCGAGCCTGACCACCCGATCCCGTTAGTCGCCTTTTACGATAAGCATAGTCGCCTTTTACGTCAAGCATGGGTTGCTGAAGACCTATTCTACCCCGGATCTTCACGGGTCGAAACATAAGTGGACATTTGGACTATACACTTGCTTCTTATTCATTATTAATTGACTGTTGTTCGTAATATGCCCAAATCGGCCCGCATCATACAGAAGCGCCGGATTGATTAATCTTGGTTGGTTGGTTGTGGTTTAATGCCGCAATATTCAGCAATATTCCAGCTATATGACGGCTGTCTATATATAATTGAGTCTGGACCAGACAACATAGGGACCAATATCATGAGCATCGATCCACGCAATTCGGATCGATGACGTGCATCATCCAAGTGAGTGAGTCTGACCACCCGATCCGGTTAGTCGCCTCTTACGACAAGCATAGTCGCCTTGTACCGCAAGAATGGGTTGCTGTAGATCTCTCCTACCCCGGATCGTCACGAAATGTAGTAAGGGCATAGCGCACAAATTTCCCTAGTCCCTTGCAGTTCGTTAAACCATTATGTACCGTTACGGTGAACCACACACTAACCAGACTCACTCACTTATACCTCACATCACCATCATCTGACAAATCTGAATGGATAATAGCTTTCCACAAACTTTATTGGAATTCAAGTAGTCACAATAAATACATGCGTGAATGCTTCCCAGGTGAGGTACAGATCTTTGTGAAAAATTTTAAAACATGATTTAAAACACTATCATTTAAACTTCCCATTTGTATGATGACTGGAATGTCGACGTGTTTGTTCTTTCAGAGTCTTTACATATTCTGTTACCTTCATATGTAAAGGATCAACAACTAGGTAGGATATTTATTTGTGACCCTGTTTCTTGGGAAATGTTATACTCTGTGTATCTGTAGTGTTAGCTATATAATCAAGCCAATCCTCCCTTCAAATAGGCAGTGACACAGACCTGCCATTACTTGATCAAACAAAGTACTACATTTGAAGTAACATTGTAATCAAACTTCTGATTTATCGCTTCTCTGTGTTTGCCTTTTACACTGAAATAAGTCAGAGGAACCAATCCATGACCACCAGGCGAAGACACGTAAGTAACATGTTCATGTATGACAATGTTCCAGGGAATAAGTCTGTGATGTGGAATCTTGTTAAGGAAATTTTTGAAATAGGTATGCTGAGACACTTTGCCACCTGATACATACAATAAATAATCTTCTGTTGGATGGAAGGCAATACCTAATATGAAGGACCCACGGGCTATGATTGAAACGTGGAGACCTGCATAATTTAATTGACGAATTTTGTCCATATGGCTAACATAAATCCTCTGTTTAGATGGATCAAGGGTTATATCAATTGCAATGTCTTTATGTGCATAGATTACACGAAAGTCCTCGCCTGTTACTGTCATTCTAGAAAGCCTACAAGTTTGCTTTGTTGGAGTAAGTGCTGTGAAAAACACGAGTTGTTTCCCATCATCAACACATAACCCGTATGCAGACATGTCTCTGAGTATTGTAGAAGCCATGTAATTGTCGAGTACAAATGACCTGATTTGATGTGGCTTACTGGTGGCTACCAATATTCGTCTCCCTGATTGTACATAAGCTATTGACAAAATCAGATCCTCGTTGATGAAAGGGTACCACTCAAAGGCGCCATCGGCAATATAAAGTTCTCTGAACTGCCTCTTTCCGTAGTTGTAAGTTGGAACGACGAGTAGGCGAGCACCTTCTGAAACTTAAAATATAACAAGATTAAGTCAATCATATGAACCACATCTCAAGTATCTGAAAGCAGAAAGATCTCGAAAGTGTGGTCTTTCACTCAGATAAATAATTGAAGACTTGGGTAGAATGAAGTCGAACGGAACTTATGGCCTTGTTTCAGAGGGATGTTCCGCGTAACCTGTACTCGCCGACCACAGATTTGCCTTGTGCAGACTTTTTGAATGGCCTTGCACTTTTGTATGAGCATGATCATAACTCCACCCTTAGTGCTACACTAAGGGCGCCAACCTCTTTCACAAAGCCCCCTTAGGCTATGATCATCGTAAATAAAGATTTCACAA